AAACAAATCCTTAGTAGGCGGAGGCGGCAAACGATACTCTTGTAGATAAAGTTATACAAGTTATACATATCTAGACTTTTTATCAAGATATCAATAAGATTTCATACCAAACGTCACTCACTAGGTAGTCCTACTCTTGATAACATTTCGGCAATTGTAGTTATTTGTCAAATGATAAATGTTGTTACCTACCAATTTTTTTTGTAACCAACGTAGAAGGTTCAGGTGATTTAACTCTGCTATGCCGATTATCAGGATCGGCATTAACAGTGTAAGTCCCTCGACGTCGTAACATTGTTTTTGTACAATTGTCTGCACAACAAAAGATCTACCACAGGAGGCACAGCACAGATAACTATCATTCTCATTGACCTTTTCGTAGAACAATCTTGATATAGTATACGTAGATATCACATCACATCACGTTTCACAAATCACAACCGAGTGCAAATGATATAACTGTGTAAGTCGCACTGTTACTCACTGTATAATATTTGACACGCGTAAGTATCGAACAAAACGACAGATTGTTTTCAAATTACTCGCGTACCGGATAGCTGCCGCAACGGCGCACCACTGAGGAAGTGGGTTAACGAACCAATTGGTAATTTTGCAACATGCACCGGCTCTGGCGACCACGTCGGTCGACTGTGACCGACCGTCGAGCGAAAGGCAGCTCAAAAACCGAGAGTGCGTTGGCACGGTTCTTCCGCGAATGACAGGATGGTGCGGTCATGCCGACCGCGAGATAGCAAGATCGACGACAGTCACTGATAACACGGCCGATAACCATGAACAATTGGCTAATACCTAATAAACTAAACGTGATACATAGATGCAAATAAAACTTATCGACACCTTTTATTGCAGGTAACAAATGCAATAAATTCACACAGTAAGTGTATCATAACATTTTGTGACATTGTGCATTGTATGCTTGTTCCTCATCAGCTTCCTCTATCAATCAAATAAAAGAGATGAAGTTGATGTTTTATAAAAACTTACAAATTATTAATGCAAATATCAACATATTACATGCAAAAATATTTAACAAAGCAACAGCCGTTGACAACTGACTACATAACTGATAATTACAAATTGGGTTGAGTCAACTAGTTATTAAGTTGGTTGGTTGCCATATTACTAAAATGCACTAATTGTGTCTCTCTAATGTTTAACCAAGAACCATTATCACTAAAATGCAGCATACAATTTTCTCATTATTTAACTATCTCTATCTTCAGCATCATAATAATAGCAAACTAATTTTTACTGGTTACAAAATAAATTAATCAATATTTTCCTATAAAAGCCTGACTATGTGGCAAAGGTATATATGGCATCTTTAATCAGAATCTTGTTTTTATCAGTACACAAAAAAATAAAGGTGGTGAATTTATGGTGAATCAATAAAGTATTAAGTAGTTCAGACATAGCTTAAAATAGTAGCAACCTATTTTTATAAGAAAGAAGAATATATAACTCATTTTGATTTTATAAACATCACTTTATTCCTTTACTTTAGTGATATGTGACTGCTGATCAGAATGTCCCATATATTCTTCTTCTTCTTCTGAGTCAGATCAAATACATATTACTGGAGCTTTTTTATTTTCACATTCCAAAACAATAAGAAGTGAGTATCAACTCATCTCAATCTCATTCCTATTAGGTATGTCTTATCATAACTAATGACATATGACTAAGATGTTTGTACAAGTTTGTGTTGCATCCCTACTTGCACCATTGGAAAATAACAAACATAATAATTATCTTTACATAAACATAAGAGAGTCAATTGTATGTTTTCTTCGAATTAAATAAGTTTACATAATTTACACAATGATTTGGTAAATTTAAAATTATGTAATAACATTTGACAACAGAAAACTTTTTAGATATTAAGTGAATCACAAATAACTCAATATAGGAGATAGACTTAGTTTAAGCTGGACAACAACTAAACTAGGTATTCGTAATTATTACTATGTGTGTGGAAGTGGTTTCAACTAACGAATGAGCTAATAGCTTAAAGTATACACCATCCACAACATATACATATCTAAGTATGCACATGTTAGTCTAATTTTCATTTCATTTATTTTTACTTAATAGTTATTGAATATTTATTTTACCTTTACCATACTAAGGGTACTACAAACCATACATTTAACTAGAATTATGAGCAATTCTAGTAAAAGTAGTGAATATCACGAGTTACAATATTATACTTTCTCAGTATCAAAAAAAAAACATCTATTGATGCAAATACTGAAGACAGTGGGGTAAACTGCAGATTTAAACAGTTTGACTTTATTTATAGCAAAGAGTCTTTAAATTGTTCAAAACTAATGTTAAATATTTGGAAATAACAAATATTATGGTTGGCACAAGTCCATATTATTATATCTAAATTTATTATAAAACTAAATAATAAAAATCAATTGATTAACTATTGATTTCATTGTTTTACACCTGATGAGTTTCATCATTTCATACAAAAAGGTTATTTTATTTACTTATCCTGTGCATTATAGTAACCCATAAAATAAATATAACTAGATTTCAAAGGGATAATAAACTTCTAATTGGTATTTTCAGTAAGCTAGACCAAAAGGCAACATTGGATCAATTGTATTTATTGCTATGATTCTTATTTTGACTGTTTTATCTGTCTGTATAAGTATACAGAAATAGAAAAATCTTAGTAGATCTGGTGTGCTTGTAAAATTAATTTTTGTTTGTAATTTAGGTACCTATTTCTATTTCTACATCTACCATTCCATTATATCTCACCAAATAGTAATTTGATACAAAATCTAATTAGTTAATTATTTATATTTTCATGTGTAAATTATTGAGACATAGTGTGTTAGTGTGTACCCCACCCACACACCACTTTGTGTAGTATATGGCTATTTAAAATTCCATACATTTTTAAAGACAACCATTTCATAACAAGCTTAGCTACTTATAATATTTATTGGTCTAACTAATACTTATAATAAATAATATTACTAATACAATAAAGTATTAACCTCTACAGTGTTTAAAATTTTAATGATTTAAATCTGCCAAAGCAATATTTTATAGTTCCACTTTTTTATCAACATAAAACCTAAAAAATATACATTTTCAGGGAGAAATTTTGTCAAAGGTAGCTAATCAATAATAGGGAGGACAGTCTTATCAGGAACAAAGCCTACTTATGCCTCCTACTACAAAGTTGAGAGGAAATGAAATAAACTTTATGCAAATTAATACAATGTAATACTGAAAATATAACAGCAAGGTCTAAAGAATTGATGTGGAACATCATGCTAAGTGAGCCTACAGTCATGACAGCTAACCAGCAAGAGATATGAAACTATACAATTTTCCTTAAACAGAAAGGGAATAAATAACTTTGAAATTCTATTAAGTAATTAATGACTGCTAGTTTTGTACAGAAACCCCTAATTTATTACGTCATGATAGATAGCAAGTAACCTCAAAGACTCATTACTAATTTCTATAAAACATGAATTCCCGTAAACTATGCGAATTACATGAAAAGAATTCAAGATTATAGAAGACAAGATTGTCGAACTAATAATTTCACGAAATACCCTAGAGATAATCTAGAATACGACGCATTTCTCCTTCAATAGATATTTTGACACGATTTATCTGTCACACGCCAGGCTTATGTGGCAGACCCTAAGCACCGCCTGTGGCCATTTTTGAAATACTGCGGACATTAAATGCCGTCGATATTGATTAATTCACAAAAATTTGGTAAATTACGTGCTTAGAAGTTGGGTTTGTGGCAGTTTGCAGCCATTTTTAAAATTGTCAGTATCGAAATACGTCACAGGCGTAAGAAATCACGATGGCCGACAAAAGAATGGTTAGGTGGTAGGTACTTACTACTGATTTTTACGCCTCCAAGAGGTGGTTTCGGTGGCTGATTATCGAAAGTCTTTCGAACGGATTTGCTGCCCTCGGCGAATGACGTGGTCCTAGGGCGTCCGCTCATTATTATAGATATAAAATAAACGGCCTTAGAATCCTGAACTTCATAGATGCTTCACATTTCTCGTTACCACCCTTGCACTCGCACTGAACTCACTTTGCCGATGATATACAAGTTAAGGATGGTATAGTCAAAACAATATCACTAAGATACAATAGAAATCAAAATAAGACTGTCTTATTACGGTTTTACAATATCATTTTGTTAATTTTTCAAAATTTACATCACTAAAGTGTACGACAGATTTTAGTTTCTTCAGACTTGTACTCGCTCGTTCGGATAGTTTCGGCATTCACTCGGGCCTTCGATTGCTGAACATACGAAGATGACGTCACGTAAACGCTTTACAGCGCCATCTATTAGTATTGTAGTTCTCTATTTCGAACTCATTCAGTAAAACAGTTCACCACAGATGCAACAAAACACTAAAGATGATATTCTCGATATCACTAATCATATAATTGATATAAGTTTTTCACATGAAAAAGGGATTTACTACCTACAATAAATTAACATTAAAAAAATAACTTCAAAAATTGGTAATACATATGAGTAGATAGTGAAAAACTGTAGTCGCACAAATATTTTTTTACGAAAATCACTAGGGTGACAATAAATTGTTATTCTATTTTGGAGTAACAAATAGACCAGAAAGTACTTATTTAAGAACTTAAATATTGTACTGACTAAAGACCTTGATACTTAGAGGTGAATTGCATACTGATTCCAAAATTGATTTTTGGGGCCAGGTCCTTCAACAACCTATTGCGTTACATAATGTAACGCAATAGGCCCCAACATGTTCAAATCATAGGGTCATTTGCTATGTGAGAATTATAATTAGTAGTTAATACATTGCGCGCTGCTGGTTACTGTTCATTTTAAACGTGTAGTAAGAAAAATCTAAACTCCTAATCGCGCAATGTATCACGTACATTTAAATTGGTACTACACTCGCGTTAGTGGGAAATTTTAATCAAGTAATCGTTCTCAAGAGTAGTTGCGCGTGCGCCGCGTAGGAGGCGAGCGGTCCGCAAGCGGCTGAACACCTACAATACGATGTGATTTTAAATCTACTGCACCACATCAAATGATACCAAGACCAACGTATCGCAACGCAGTTATACAAAATGGAATGTTATACATCGGATAGCTGTGACAGTGACACCAGGGAGCAGAAAACCCTTGATTTGTCGAGTCAAATGTTGGAGTCACTCAGCCTATCGTCGGAACTAAAAGGCATTGTTGACGAGAAGGATTGCGCAGAAAATTACGAGATAGTTCTCCTCTACAACAACAGGATAAAGGCACTGCCTGATACGTTAAACAGGTTTAGCAACTTGAAGATATTGGATGTAAGCAACAACAGACTGACTGTGCTCCCGGATATCTTCAAACATTGTCAGCTAACGTCGCTGATTGCAAAACATAATCAACTCACCAATGAATCGCTTCCGAAGTCGTTCTTTAGTAATAAGAGTTCGCTGCGAGAACTCAATTTAAGCGGAAACCAATTGAACTTCTTTCCAGAGCAAGTTTTAGATATAGCATCTCTTAGATACCTTTACTTAGGTGGTAACAACATAGTCAACATACCAAAGGACATATGGAAACTTAACAGGTAAATATTATAATTATATATCTATAGATTTTTAAATGCGACAGCTGAGGCAATATCAGGTGCACCTGCGATAGTTATTGTTCGCAATTATGTAATTCGTAGTCGTACCTAATTAAGTTTTAAATTTATGGTCAAACCTAATTGGAACTGCTGATATTCTCTTCGTGCCATCTTCTCACAATAACAATCAGTAATTCATAAACATTAAACACTGGAGCTCTTTGTCTAATCTACTGACCGGTCATTGTGGAGATACAAACCTACTCAAGTGTTCAAACAACGTACCTAAGGCAAATCAACTACCATTTATATAAATTTATATAGGTAGAATTGGTATATGCAAATATTAAAAATAGTTACGATTGTTCCACATTTCCTCACAAATATTTTACTGAACTTACCTATTTAATATTATAACGTTTCAATAACTTACTTGGTATTTAAAAAAGAGCAATGAGTACGAAACTAAAAGATAATAAGTATGTCCATGCATAAAAATAATGTTTCATTATCCACTCTACGTCGTTAACAGTAATTTTCGCTTATCATGTCGAAACTGATATAATTTTCGTTATCTGCCAGTTCAAGCAGACAAACACTACAGTTTCTCTGGATATCAAAATGCTGTATCATGCCATTATGTGTAAAATGATAGCGCTACAGCTCTGCCGGCCGACTGACGACATACATTTAGATAAAATATAAATATACTAAGTTTGTTATCGTTTATGTACAGTGGCTAGACAACGCAAAATGGCCTAAAGATACCTACTATTTAAGTAGGTAGATGCTTCTTATAGACCAACGTGAATCGTGATAATCATAAGATCTATAGAGAATTTGACTCAACTTCCTTAGTTCCTTATATACAGGATGCAAGTTTGTTACAAGCAAAGTGGACAAAATTTCTCGTTTGCCCAAGTATTGAGCATCATAATTAGTGCTAGGTATCTGTTCCACAGTACCTATTCTGATTTCATAAACCTTAAAGATTAGGACAAAATAACCTTGGAAATTGAAAGATTCGGAAGGCTGTCCACGTAGGTAAGCCTCATTGTACCCTTACTGTCAATAATAAATAACATATTTTTGTCTTCTTAAACAGTTTGCAGATTCTATCTTTAGGAGGTAATCAAATTATCGAAGTACCGGAATCGGTTGGGCATCTGACGGGGCTCCAAGCTCTGGTATTGAGCGACAATCTAATTGAGCAACTGCCAGCGAGCATAGCTAGATTGAATCAACTACGTTCCTTATTAATCCACAAGAATAGATTGAAGACATTGCCCACGCAGATAATAAAACTAAAATGTTTGACGGAGGTGAGTACCTTTTTTCTTCATTACGCTCTAATATGACGTTGTAGGAGGGTAGGTACTTATTTTCTTATATACCTATGAACTTTAAGACCTTAGGGAAAATATGAAGTAGGTAGGTGTAGGTATTAAATGATAAATGGTTTACCGTACCTACGTCATTCATTACCTATACTATGAATAAAGCAGACATTCTCCTTCGATCTCTGGGGTCCTGCGTTTGATCCTATTGTTGTTCCAACTTTATATATAAATCTATTGTCTGAAGAATAACAAAGTGCTATACACGTTGTTTGTTTTGATAAATGCGGAATGTGCTGATGTGCCATATAGGTAGGTATAAACCCAGAACACAACTGGGGAGCTAGGTACCTTTTTGGAGATCGGTTGTTATTAGTGAAACAACTTGTTGTCGTAGATCGAATGAATTTATTAGCCGGAGGTGGTTGTTTTTATACAAAAATTGGTACTAGTGCTACTT